GGGGGGGGGGGGGGGGCAGGTTGCTGGAGCTTATCCTAGGCAGCTTGGGACACAAGGCAGGGATATTCCCAAGATGGGATGCCGGGCATGTACTGTTTTTGCAGTACATTTTATATAACACATGTTTTTTCCGGGCAGAGATTGTGCTTTCAGCTTCAGTCTCCTCTAACGTAATCTCATGCATTGTCACGTGTTTCTCATAAGTTCCTGGGAAATAAGTATACTCTGTCGATATCCACAAATTGGCGTCATGGCGAGCGACTCGGTTAACAAAAACTGGTTCATTAATCGATTCATTGTGTAACCACTGATATGAAACTGACGTCGCAGGAGAAGAGGCCAGGAAGGTGTTTGATGATGCCCAGAAACTCCTTAAAGAGCTGATTGACAGCCAGAGTCTGCAGGCCCGGGGCCTGGTTGGATTCTGGCCCGCGCAGAGCGTGGGAGACGATATCCACGTGTACGCTCAGGACACCGTGCCGCGCAGCATGCAGCCCGCTGCCAAGTTCCATGGTCTGCGCCAGCAGGTGACCCTTCCTCTCTATGGTTTTTTCCTGCAGTTCCTATTACTCTTACAAGGGGGCGCTTAACCCTGGTCCCAAAAGCCTTGCTTCACCTCACTTGGTACTTCCCATGGAAGCCTCTGTGGACCATGGTTGGAGATCCCCGCTTATAAGCTTGTTCTCACCTCCAGCAGGTTGCTGTGGTCTGCATTGTGTACGGGTTTTCAATCTCGCTAATCAGTTAAGCGCCAGATTCAACTAATTATTCAGCTAATTGGGAAAAAATGAAATGGTCTCTCTACTGAGCTATAAAACAGACATAAAACCCTCATCCACTCTGCCGGCTGCCAGAGTCGAGAACCTCTGGTTGAAATATGCTCGCAGTTCTCTGTTAGAAAACAGTCTCCTCAATGACCAGACATTGAAGAGGTTGGTATTAACCCCTTGTAATCTAAACATGTGTCATCAGCTGAAGACACAGTAATGGTGGACCCTGTTCTGATGAGTCCTCTGCCGAGGACCAAGGCCGTTATGGACACGTTAACGGTGGGATTTTCGCGTCTCCAGGCAGAGAAGGACTCCGCCAGCACCGATCCCTACGTGTGCCTGTCGGACTTTGTGGCGCCCCGGGAGAGCGGCATTCCTGACTACGTCGGCTTGTTTGCCGTAGCCTGTTTCGGGGCTGAGGACCTGAGCCGCGACTTTGAGAAGAAGGGGGACGTCTACAACAGCATCATGGTCAAGGCCCTGGCAGACCGTCTAGCCGAGGTACGGCTGCAGTCACACCTACTGTCCTCGTCGTCAGGGGCTGATCTCATCTTAAACGATACTCGCGTTTTGCATAATATTTACGTGTATATTCCCAGATGTATGTACTTCCATCCGTGCATCCGTCCATTTTCTCTAACTACTTACCCAGTACAGGCTTGTGGCTAGTCTGCCGCCTATTACAGGATGTACTGGGGCAGAGGACACCCCGGATGGGATAACAGTCCAGTTTACACACCTGTTACACACGTAGTTATTTGCCTGCGCTACAGATATACAGCTGTTACTAATACCTGTTACACATCATATATCTGTCAATATCTCTCTTACTTTTTCAGATTTTACTACATCCTTTAGACTGTGGATATTAAAACTTGCTACTTGTGCTGTTCCAGTTGCATTGTTTTGTTCCCTTGATGTCTTTGAGATGATCGTTATCTGTTTGCACGATGGTGCACAACTTTGTCGCTGCAGGCCAGGGTAACTTTGACCACACACGAGAAGCTGTCCCCCAACTGCTGCTGAATGAAAGCTTAACGATTCTTACACCATGCACAGCTTATCCAGATCGTCCGGCAAATTAGGAAGTTGTACATATATGGCATAACAAAGACAGACTCGGAAAACTTAAGATTTTATTACCTTGCTCGATAGTATCAAGAGCACATAAACACTTCATTTAAGGTCAGTTTATGGCTTCGCTGGTTAGGAGACCATCAAGCCTGTTCAGATGTGGAGTTTGGTCTCCAGACTTGCATACTTCCCTCAGCCCACCCAGATCCCGTGTTTTGTTAAAGCTGCATATGGCGTGTAGAGCAGCCGTACCTTGTCCTGGATGCCTGGCTGTTTATAGAGTGCCCCCCCCCCCCAGGCATTCGCTGAGGAGCTTCATGCCCGCGTGCGCAGGGAATTCTGGGGCTACACGGCGGAGGAGGACCTGGAGGCGGCTGACCTGCACCGGGTTCGGTACCAGGGGATCCGGCCCGCACCCGGCTACCCCAGCCAGCCGGACCACACGGAGAAGATCACCATGTGGAACCTGGCCTCCATAGAGGAAAAGACCGGTGAGTCGATCTGTGTCAGCCGCCCTTCTTGCCGCGTCATTTAGCGGACATGTGCACTCCGCCCGTGTCTCTGGGTTCCCCTCACCGTGCCCACCGTGCCTGCGCCTGTCTTTAAGGCATCAGCTTAACCGAGTCGCTCGCCATGACGCCAGCCGCCGCCGTCTCCGGCCTCTACTTCTCCAACCCCAAATCGACCTATTTCGCCGTTGGCAAGATCACCAAGGAGCAGGTAGGGACCCGGACACTCGCTGTGAATGGTGTGAGGGGCGCGGGACGAGTCGGCTCGCCGGGGGGGGGGGGGGGGGGGGGGGGGGGGGGGGGGGGGGGGGGGGGGGGGGGGGGGGGGGGGGGCCGTGCGGGTCTGCTGATGCGGCGGCAGATGGTGCGGTGCAAGCCGGCCAAGTGTGACATCACTGCTTATCTCTCTGGGCCGGACGTTCAGGTGCGTCAGGAGTCTTAATCATCATTAGATGTCACCTGGAAGTACGTTCACAGGTTTCAGCATGCCTGGTGAAGGGGGCAGGGGGGTGTCTCTGCCTTGGGTACTGAATTCTACTGTTGGGTAGTTGCTTGGGACCGACAGCTTTTATATAAGCAGGCCGTAAATCTGTATGTTGTCTGTATGTGTCGCCTCCTCCCAGGTCGAGGATTATGCTTCAAGAAAAGAGATGTCCATTGGTGAAGTGGAAAGGTGGCTTGGACCAATCCTGGGGTACAACATTGACTGACACGCTCGGACACACCCCCTCCATTCATCCTGAATTGCTGCTCTGACATTGTTTACATGTCAACTCGGACTGGACACTAAAGCGTTTCGATTTTCAGGTTTTTAAGCACCTTTCTGTGCTTATGTTTATCTTATAGATTAACTCTGACTTTATTGAACTCTTTTTATAATTAGCTACATTTTTTAAATTTAGATTTATCATATTTTTAATGCAGAAATGACAGATCTGTACTAGAATATCTGAAAATGGTTTTAAACTAAAATCCATGACTGCAGTATGTCTCCCGATTCTGGTTTGCGTGTCGCTACACTGTATACTTCACAAATGCTGTTGCCAACGGTGGCATTTTAAAATGTGTAACATTCAGTTCCAGCCTTTAAAATGTCTGAAAACCACTTATTAAAGTTTGTTACATTAAATCAGCAGCAGCTGTATAACGGCGCCAATTAATCAATCGAAGGGAATATCAGCACCAAGTAAATAATGTGACCGAACATTAAGCAGGTGTCACCTGAGAATAAAGCTGTAACCTCAGAGTTTATTAAATTAAACAGAGGTGAACGACCAGAAATGAGACGCAGTGCAAGACTATTAGAAAATCACTGGTTTAATTGGCTGTATTGCCATCTAAATGTGGAAGGGAAAGGATGTCTTAGAAGGAGGGGGGGCTAATTGTCCTGTATTGGCTGTGTCACATTCACTGAGGGTGACCTCTCTGTTAGTCCGGAATGTTCTAATGAAGAGTGAGTTTCCTTCCGCCTTGAGAAGCCGCCCGATTCCCTGATTCAGCAACGTGGCCAGGTGCCGCCATAACCGTGCAGCCACAGCAGCGGGTTGAAATGCAGGGCGCTGTTCCTCCGCCCCTCCTCCCACCCCCTTGGCGATCTGGTTGCTTACACAACAGACCTGAGACTTATTGATTTGTATTTTCGGCACACCAAGGCGAATGAGGGGGGGACGGGTGTCACCTGGCATCCATGGGCTTGCTGCCCGTCACGGGCAGCTAAGGTCCCGCCGGCCGAGCTCTATGGCAGCTCTGGTTACGCTGGATCTGCGTGGATCTCTTTCCTTTGGAATGGCTGCTGAAATTCCCCTTCCTGTAGCAGCGGCACTGTGTGCCATGTGACTGCATACAGGCAATCCAAATAAAGTCACCCCGAGCGGCAGTTTGTTCCATGAGCCTGTGCTGTGTGACTCTGATTATGTCTGTACTTTGCTTACTTTGAGCACATCCTGAATAACAAACATCTGTATCTGTGGAGTTCAAAGTTATCATCTGGGTAGGGTATCGTATGAATACTCATAAACCAGTTCTGCATAATCGCTTTGATAATTACAAGTCATATTCTGCTTTATAAATTTCTGCTTGGTAAATCTATTCCCTGTTTAGATAAGGTAACTGAAAGAGGTATACAAGGAATGATAATCACAATGAAAAAGACAATTGTTGTTTATCTCCCGTGTGTGAGCGCGCGTGCGTGCCTGCGTGCGTATATGTAAGTACAGTATGTTTGCATATGGATGAGACATTTAATAATACAAACTTAGACATTCGCCTGAGAATAAAAAGACCACCACCGTAACCCTTCAGTGCAGTAAAGCAGCACAGTAAACATTATAATCCTTTCAACATAAGCTTAACCTAACCTTAAAAAAATATGTCGTTATAAGTCTACAACTACAAAGCCTTTATTTTCTCCTACACCGACCAAACGGGCACTTTAGGTACATGCCCCAGACCTAAATCGTGGCGAAAAGAGCGGAGGTCCGGTGCCGTGCAGTACAGTGGCCGTACGATAGGGGGCGCGCCGAGCTCGGCTCAGGGTTCCGCCGTGTACCTGGCCGGCTCCTCCCTTTGGGTATGCCGGCTGCCCAATGAGCTCGCCTTTCAGACGGCCACTAACAGGGCTATAGCGTTCAACCTGCCGCCTCCTCCTGCACAACTCTCCGTGCAGCTCTTCTAAACCGCGGTTAACGATGGCCGAAGGGGGGGAAGGCGAAGATGAGATCCAGTTCCTGCGAACTGTAAGTATGAACGATTTCATCCCTCCTCTCCTTTCCTGCCGAGTCAGATCCAGCTGGTCCGCAGAGCCGCGTGCTCCTGCATCCCTGAGTTTGTCTCCCGAAATGCCGCCGGACGCCCGGGCGCGTTTGTCGATGGTGATTTTAAAAAGCGTGAAATTGCATCTGTTCCCAACGCGCACGGTGATTAATTTCACCAAGAGGCACCTTTTTTTCCCGACCGTGACACTACGTTATAGTGTGGGAGGGGGTCGTAAAAAAAAAAAACCTGCAGCGTCCATGGTCCCCGAGATCCAGATCCCAATACTGGAAAGGGACGGGGAAGTGGATAATGACCGTGATGGTGATGGTGATGGCTTGGGGTTTGCGACCCCCAGGCATGACTGTCATCGGGGGTGATGTGCGGACCAGCAATGCCGCTGACAGGCGCAGTTGAAAACTCCTGCTGGCCACATCCCCACTCCCGTCTGCGGGTAAGCGGGGCTCCAGCACTGCAGATAACAGCCGGCGATGCTCCGTCATCCCCGCAAAGCCCAGGAAACAAGTCCGCTAGTCGGTCAAGTGCAGAACGCCATGTACCGCCAGCCCTCCTCCTGTCAAGATGGAGTCGATCAATAACCGGCATTACTTAACGATAACTTACCCCACCCACCCAAAGCGTTTTCCTGTCATAGTAGCTGAGGTGCATTTTGAAGGCGGGGTCATATTTGCCTGTTTGCTCTCCACGCTGTAATTTTGTGTGCATTATGTCAATGCATTGCTTACGATTTGCTGTGCCACAAACCTTGCTATTCAAAAACTGCCCTAGTCGACTTACCTGAAGCTACTGTCAGTGCTTAAGATCCCTTCAGATCTGTTATAGCATATGTTTGCATTAAACAAGCGATGGCATTTGCTTTTTGCAATTTCGGTGTACAGGTTGTTGTGCAGTTTATTACGGCGGGCGTAGTTTTAACGCCGATTCCAGGTAAAAGTGGTCAGAAATTGCAGTGGCCATTTTACCATAGACCCCCCTCCCTCTTATTGCAGCATTACTTCTAATGCAGAATTTCAATGTAAATCGGCGGGTGATTGCTCCTCTTGGCTGTCGTCTCTGCGGGGGAGGTTATTACACACAGATCGGGGTCTCCGGGTGGTTTGGCTTTGAGGACTGCAAGATTTATCCTTTATTAATGTTTTTAAAATCAGATGTACATGTACAAGTCGGTTAAGAAACGGAATGCCAAATCGTGCATTTGTGTCTGATTACAATTTATAGCCTACTGTCGGAGAATTAATGCGTTTTATAATGCGTCTGTAATATTTATTCATTATTTCTTTATAATGAAGAGTGAGCAGTCCAGTCAGTAGGTGGTTCATGAATCACCGAATAAGCCATAAGTTGCTTGCCAGGAGATTCAAACAGAAAGAATAATCACTTGTCAGTCATTCCCGGTAGGGATAACGGTGCAACACCGTGTTGGTCTATTTGCATAATTATATAACATATGTGCGCTCGCCACAGGTTGGCTGGGTTTAATGCGGGCGGCGGGACACTCGGGGGTCTTTAGCGCCCGGGGCTGGGGCGCCTTTGGCTCGCCACCTTTCTGATCTGCTGTTGTTATATCTGACCTTGAGCAACATCACACAAAAAAAAAAGAAAAAACCGTGCATGTTGCGTGTATTTTTTTCTAATCCAAGTAAAAACTTTGCAAAAATTCAGACATTCAGATTTAAAGTTGCAGGGGGAAAAAATGTAAAAACTTTATACGAAATAGAGCTGTGTGAAAAATTCAGGCGGAGCGGAGGCGATTTCCCATTCGCATCACGCTCCACGTCTGCAGTTTGTCACAGCCGACCTGGCATAATAAGCCCGAGACAATCACAACAAATAGATCACCCTGAAGTAGTAATGAAAGATGGCATGCTTATTGGCAATGCTTTCTGTCATCGCGTCACCCTTTCTTGCTGTCGTGTGGGACGGGAGACGTGTTGATGGATCGAAGCACTTCCCGTTAGATTTGATGATGATGTCGCGTTAAACTTCAGATCGTATTTTGACGTGGTTGGATAAACGGGGGAGGTTTCGTACTGAGTGGCGCTGAGACCTGCCCTCGCTAAACATCTTGCGATTATGTGGGAATAATTTATCAAATTTGCTTTTAAAATGTGTTTTTAATTTTAATTAATTGATTAATTTACTTATTTAGGTATTCTGTGATGACGGTTTGGTTGTCAATGCCATTTTCCACAGGGAGGGGGAGGTGAGGGGGGGTGCTGGTTTCGGAGTGTGAGGCACCCGCAGGATCGGTGCGATTTTCTTCCTCAGATAAGTGCTCCCTCCACCACATCAATGTTTGATGAGATCCTTTCCAGTTACATAAATGCTGTCTAGAGCGAGTCTTATTTCCCATCTATCAGCGACATGCAGAATTCAGTTG